AATTTGAGCTACAGAGCAGGCCTGATGAGCGCGAGAGGGCGCTGTATTTACCTCAGGCAGAACAGAGCGAGGCTGGGTGTCAGAGATTTGTATGTGGAGCTATTTTTCACATGCTGCCTTCACACTTGAGCCCGTAGGGCCCATTTAACAAATGACCTCTGCACTGGGGTAGCACCATTTGGCAATTTGACTCCTCTGATGAGGCATGTAGCCCATCTCTGCCCTCTTCCCTGTGCCTTTTCACTTGTCCTCCTTGCGCTGTCAACTTCTCTCAATTTCTCTCCACTTCTTGCTTATTCCTTGTCGAGGCATTCTTCCAGCCGGAGAGGATAAACTCTAGTCTCATCCACAAGACGAGGAGCCCTCTAAAGTCGACCGCGCTGACGGAGACGGTCTAGGAACCGGGCCCTGGCGAGGCCTGCACATCTGAGCACTTGTCCGCTTCTTCCGGCCGACTCTTAAAGGAGTCACACCCCCCAAGACACGGATAGCACCTCAGCCAAGTGGATGCATAATGGGCACTTCATCAACTGTCAAAAAGCGATTACTTGAGGAGGGTGAGGAAGAGGAAGATGAAGAAGAAGGGGGGGAGGTTCTGGTCGGCCTTCGCCTCAGCTCAAGTGCAGACTGGACCGGGCTCCGATCTCCAACCTTCGGCACCCTGGCGTGAAGATGAACCCAGACCCGGAGTGTTTCAGGTGGCCAAATGAGTCGGTTCTGAGGTCTCGTCTCGGTTCGACCAATCTAGGCATTGTAAAAACCAACCCTGAAGACGCTGGTGACTCCATTTTTCCCGGTGGTCATGGCGGCCTCGGCTGGCAGGCTGCGTTAACCTGTGCTCTGCCGCCAAGCCTCTCCTGCACCAGACGAGCAGCATCGCTCCTAGAGGGTGACGAAGCCGCGTCCCCCACCATCCGTCTTGCCTGCGCATCTGATACCTGCGGATTCGGTTAGACCAGACAGTGACCATCTCGTTCATTATTCCTGTTTCTAATAATAATAATAATAATAATAATAATAAT